TTTTCCCCATATCCCCCGATTGCCTAAGGGGTTTCAAAGGGATCTTATTTTTTTTTTTTAAATCAACAAAACAAGCAAAAGCCACAAAACTTTGCTGAAATTTTTGAGCGGTCCCCCCGGGCCGTGAATTTTCCGGGGAAAGTCGGGGGAATAAAGGGGGCACTGTGATTGACCAGAGCACCCCCTCAGTGACGATTTGATTGTAAAACAAAATAAAACAAACAGGTTATCACTTGGCCTAAGGGGCCCTAAAGGGTGGAAAAGGGGTCTTTATTTAAATGATAAAAGTTAAATTCAATTAAAGTATGTATCAGTGTTTATCAAAGTCAGCAACATCTACCATTTTCCTCACAGTCAGACGCAATGACGAAAAGAAATTCGACACCCCTGTCCAACTTCCTCTTCAGTCCATTCCAAATATGTTTTAAATTGTGAATTCCATCTCATGCACTAGATAAATACTGATCTTCATAAATCTGTCTTGTCAATTCATCCATCTCAACACAAATAAACACTTAGTACTCTTAGGTCTTAGTACTCTTAGGTCTAAGTACTCTTAGGTCTTAGTACGCTTGGCTCCATAGCGAGGGGCACAAGCCGTCTGGAGGTGACAGGTTTGATTTCCGGCACGGTAACTTTGGATTTCGATTTTTATTTCGTCTAGTGTGTCCTTGTAACTTTCTACTTCTTTCTAGACTGTCTCTATGTTAATTATATATATATATATATATATATAGATATATATATATATATATATATATATTATATATATTATATATATATATAAAAATATGTTTCAAGAGCACTTCTGCATCTGAAACAGAATTAATATTCATCTTCGGATTCATGCTGCACAGGTATAACACAACTTTCACTAGCTAACCTAGGAGAGTTAACTGAAGGCAGCGTTACAATTTTACCAGATCACTGAATATTTGTACCTATTTGGATGACATGCTTTGCTTACTAGTTGGCATTTTTGTTTAATATAAAAAAAAAATCCTTTCTATGTGTCAGCACTCCTGAATATCCGATACAAATAGATGGGTCATTTAAATTATGTGAAGAATTATACAGCTGTAGTAGGCTTCTTTAGAATGGCAATGCTTTTGTTGATGTCGGCATTACCCGATTACAAACATCTGGAAAACTGACCTTTTTCTTCAGTTGACTTACGTACAATTTGCTAATGCTTTCTGTTTCATAGTCGACGTAGTATATAGCGAATACTTTAGGAACAAATAGAAAAATTAGAGCAACTGTGTGGTTGAGCAGTAGAGCCAGCGACAAAAGGAGAGTGCGCGTGTGTTTGAGACTGGCCGTATAGTAGGCTGGAACCACAGCTAGCCAAATGATCAGTGTTGTGGAGGCACACATGGACACGAACCGCGACTCTTTGAAGTTGTCCGGCAGCTTTCGCGTCTTGAAAGCCAGCACCAAGCTAAGGGAACCTGAAGCAAGCTGATGGCCAGGAAAGAGATCAGACTGGACATGGTGAAGTCACAGTGCAGCTCTACGAATTTCTCCAGCTCCACGGGTTGGGACAGGTGCGCTGATGGTCGGTGCACGAGAAACATACCTGCTGAAACTAGCATCTGTAGAAAGAGCACATAACTGGTCAATTTAACATTCGTCAGATTTCTTATAAATACAAGGACAAAAACATAACGAGAGTTGCCGTGGCGGAGCAACTAGACGCTCGCCGCGGATCGGACAGTCGTAATTCGCTCCCAGCCGGAGCCAGCCATTTTACAAAAATGACCTTGGCTACCAAATCGACCCAGCCTTAAGTGGGTAACGGGTGAAGTCCCGGAAAGTAAAGGCGTCCAGCGTGATGCTGATCACATAACCCATTTTATGTCGATTTGTCTATACAAAATATAGGTCCAGCCCTATATGCCCTTCCCGCTCAAGGCTCAAAGTTTTTAAAAACACAACGAACAAATCCTAAGAGACTATACTGATTTCAAAAGGCTTCAAAAGACCCACGATCTACGATGTCAGTTATGTTTATGTTATCTGTCTTCATGTCTTGCATCTGGTCTCAAATCGGTGCGAAAATTCCCAACACAAACACATAAGCATACAATTTAGAAGTTATAAAAATGTTAGTGAAAATGCATTCTTAAAAGTTTTGTTTAATGCACCTCTAAAACACGTCTTTCAGCTTCCTGACCCAGAAGAGACTGTAAAGGATTGGCTGAAGATCTTCACTGGGTTGTTTGATAAATATGTGCCAGTGAAGGAAGTTCGGTTAAAGCATCAGATAAACTCTCCATGAGCATTGGGCAAATTGAAAAAAAAAAACGGACTTTATCAAATACCGTAATTTGCACAATAAACTTTAGTTTTTCTTTCTAAAGGGAAACTTTTTAGGATGCAATTTGTCGTTATTTGAAGCCCTACTCTGGCTCTTGCCAGGGGCCGCAATATAGCCAGGCCATAAATATGGCCTAAAGGCTGAACGCGGTTTCTGCGACCTCTCCACGGTGATCCTCAT